TACCACACAGCCATAGTGAGCGAGCCCGACCCCCGGCCGAGCCCGCCCGCCCCTAGCCCCCCGTTGACCTTGAATAACCCATAACCAACCCTCCTGATAACGCGAATGAACACTTTATCCCCTCTCCCGGCCACCCGACCCCCGACCCCCCAACCCCCGACCTCCCGACCCATCAACCCCCCAGTTATACACTTGACTTGAGCTGCTACGCGACTACTACATCAGCACTACATCACCCCTAATTTTCTCCCTCATATGATTTGATTGAATCATTTTGTCAATCAACTGAGAAGTAATTGCTATTGTTACTTCTGAAGATGGGAATATTAAGGATGATGATGGCGAAAAACGGCCGATACGACTGCCCCGTAAAATCTGTCCGCTCCGCTGCTTCCGAGAAATTTTAGAGGGAGTTTGTGCTTGAGAGAGAATGAGAAAGATAGAGAGATGCATAAAGAAGGAGAGTAACGGTGAGTGGAAGAAATGCCGAATTCGATTGAATACACATTAATGCATACGTGCTCTGGTGTATACTAAAGACTTGTACACAAAATGTACGATATAAAGGTATGTACGAGAGCTTGCATAAAGGATTCCTTCATTACAGCTCATGTCTTTATGATGTAAATTTACATAAATTTATACACAAATTCGTATAAAGGCATAACTGCTGAGATATTACACCTACGTAGCGCGTAATTTAGTCAGATTGGAGAAAGATACACTTACATACATTTGGTGTGCACTTGTCGGTTTCCGTCATTGGTGTGTATATTCTTATGCACGTAAAATAGTATCATCGATTAAAAACGAGGAGCCACCCTAATGAAAGTTGGAATATAAACTTCAATATTTCTCCAATAATGTTATCTTAAACAATATTTTTACCCATCTTGAAAGGTCTCATTAATAAGTGAGTTTCTCAATCGTAGATTTTTAAGGATTAATTGAGTATATTTAATATTTTATTTGTTTATTATAGATTTCTCAATTCTGGCATAGCTAAAGCATTAATATGTTTAATGTTTATTTATTAGAGTGTTCCAACTAAAAATATGGAATTATATGTCGCCTGTATTGATCGAGACTTACATTGTGTTTTTACGTAAATAAGTTAGGGTGTAATAGACTTTATTTTGCATCAGCGTGCACACGTGCATTCAATCAAATTGGCTAGAGAGAGAGAGAGAGAGAAAGAGAATGCGCGCGTGTGTATATGTATGTTTGTTTGTGTGTGTATGTGTGGGTGGGTGAATGAGTGAGTGTGTGTGCCTTGTGAAAAAGAGAATCTATATGGGTGAAAAAAGCAATGTGAGAGGGCGAAGAAGAGAGTGAGGGAGAGGGAGAGGGGGAGAGAGAGACTGCGTGCGTGTTTGTGTGGGTGTGAGTGAGTGAGTGAGTGAGTGAGTGAGTGAGTGAGTGAGCGAGTGAGCGAGCGAGCGAGCGAGCGAGAGAGAGAGAGAGAGAGAGAGAGAGAGAGAGAGAGAGAGAGAGAGAGAGAGAGAGAGAGAGAGAGAGAGAGAGAGAGAGAGAGAGAGAGAGAAAAGAAATAGCGCACGCGAGAGAGATACAGAAAAAAGGCAAGAAATAGTGAGTAGAAAAGAAAGAAAGGACATAAAAATTGTATACTTGTGCATGTACATGATTTTGCGTTCGCATTTTTTGTATTTGTAGAGTCACACGGGTAAGAGAGTGCATTTTCATGTAATTTGATGTAATTTTTGTGACCAAACCAAATACAGTTGGACAGAGTATAATGATGACGATATGATAAAGACAGTCGGTCTCTCTCGCGATCTTCCGATTCCAATAATTTTATATGGTATTTGTTTGATTTAGGCGCGCTCTCTTTTGCACTCTCTCCTTACGAGAAATATCTAAACTTATCATAAATGAATAATTACTTGGTAAAAATATATTATTAATTAAATAGAAAGAAGAAGAGATGTATTAAGGTTCGATGAAAATGTATTTGGTACAATGATAACAATGTAAATGTATTAGGTTGATTACGACAAAAAAATTGTTCGTTTTTTTCTTACGGCTTATTAAAACAATAAATAATTCTTTTTTATGTAATTCATAATAACGTAATTCTGTCCTGTCTGGTTCCTAATAAAAAATTCTATATAAGACTATGCGAATATTACTTACAAAAATATATTTCTTTTTAAAGACAAATGCTTTTCAAAGAAATTCAGAACTTAAGAAGAATATAAATAGAAAATTTCTGTTGAAAGAAGAAAGAAAAGAAATGAACGAACTTTGATCAATCTAATACATCCATTAATTGTGAAAGTAAGTAATTGGTGTTTGTATAAAGTCACCGATGATTCTATGGAGTCAATAGTACTTGCATTATAAACATAATGAAAATTTAAAGTTTAAAGTATACTTATTGGTGCTTAGCAATCAATGTTTAATTTTAACATTATTAGTACATAATTTTCAAATATACTCATTGATAACCGTTTAAATTCTCAGATCATTAGTGAAAATATTTAATTGTTACATAGATATCGATCATTTTGTTAAATTACATTGATCATATAAAACAAAGATGCGCGTTTCTTACATTTATTACGATGATCGACAAATAATTTACAGAATTATATACGAAATTTTATTGAATATTATTACAAAGTCAATAATTTTGCTACAAAATACCTTTACGCTCCTCAGATATAAAAAAGAAATAATCCACAGTTAATAAATATGAAATGTATCAGGTTGATTAGGACTTAAATTTTTTTCCTGTTTTGCCTTTTACCTTCTTTTTGTTTAATAAAGAAAAGAACGAATCAAGTTTTTGGTCAGCCTAATATAATATGATATATATGATTTTATATGTGTATATATATATAATTTGAATTATTATTTCAATCAACTAATAATAGATATAATTTAGAGGATGATGAGAGAGAAGATGGTGCAAAAAGGCGCGATTGAAACGAACAAATTAGAAAAAAAGACAATTTATGAAATTGAAAGTTCTGATACATAGATGATGATCTTTATGATCACAATCCTAAGAAATAATAGTAATGATAACAATTTGTAATTTGTAATTTGAAATTATATAAAAAATTCAAAGATTTAGTGTGAATGTTAAGCAAATTAAGCAGTTCTTCCTCTTTGTGACATCGAAAGAAAAAAAAGTTTATTCACGATTGTTGTAACAAAAACAAAGTATTGTACACGATATTATGTTTAGCCTATTTGACGTGTAGACCTGATTATTATAGGTGGTACATGTTACTTTCACCAAAATACAGTACTTTCTTCCAATTTTTAACTTCTTAGGTATTAATGAGCAATTCTCTTAATTCTGTAATTAATTCTCTTAAAATTTTATTTATGAAGAAATATCGCATTGTCTTGATTTTCTTTAAAGTCGATTCTTTTAACGTTTTGTGTTATCCTTCACTGTAGATCGCGATGCGTCTTATAATAATATTCCTATCTTTATGTTTATTTTGAATAATTGTATTATATTGAATATTTTACATTTCAATATATTTGCTTAATGAATAAAAAAGGAAAGAAAGAAGAAAGAATTTTTCTTTATACTCTGATTATTTACCCTAATTTTGATAATTAAAACGTAATAATTACGACACGTTTTGGATATTCTTATAGAGTCATACATTAGTTTGTCACACTGTATTTGGGTTTGCATTTATTGTTGCCATTTTCAAAAACTATTCGTAACAAACAACAATTCTCCATGTTATGTTAAGAAATTTGGAGATTTTTGAGAAACAAGTCTTTGTTTGGTAAAGGTTGTAAGTTTTTAAGCCAAATCGTATTGAGGCAGAAAATGTAGCTGTTATGTAAGATACATCTTATTTGAAATTGCGAAAATGCTGCGTAAATACAAGAGCGCGATCAAGGCATTACAACAATCCAGTCTCTGCGTTAATAATAAGAAATAAATAACAATGAAACTTGAAGAAATACAAAAATAACAAAGAATTAAAACAGCAGGAGAAAATATATTGAATTGCGCAAGTTCTTGTTATCAGATAAAAATAAAATTTTGATAAGAATTGCGTAAGAACTGTGAAGAAAAGATACATTTTGTATCCTGATATTTCAGATATCTCCGTTATAAATGATACTATACTTTAAAGGACTGAAAAAAGGAATTAAATTTTTAATTCATTTAAGTCATTTTTAAATTACATTTTCTCTAATTTACTTAAATAAATTTGTTGATAAATGCCTTGATCTTCTAGAACGATGATTTTTTTTATCGCGATTGAAAATTATATTGTTATGATTAGTTAATCATCAACAATTGGCATAATTTCCTGTAATAGAAAAGTTTTTGTCGAAATAGAAATAATTTGTATTTTCAGAACAAGTATATAAGAATAACCGTTTTTTGATAAGTAAGTTTGATTTACTGTGAGTGTGATTGATAAGAAATTGCGATAAAAGTAAGAAAGTGAGAGAGAGAAAGAGAATGTTGAAAGGAGGCAGAGAGGGAAAGGGAGGGAGAGGAAGAGAGAGAAAGAGAGAGAGAGAGAGAGAGAGAGAGAGCGAGAGAGAGAGAGAGAGAGAGAGCGCATTCAAAAATCAGTTTTATTAATTAATAATTATAAAACGATTATTGTGTATGAAGTAAAGCAATTGCGATGTGTTATGAACACTTGAATATAATGGAGATGATACATTATTAAGAAAAAAATGAGAATTTTCTCAGAAAAATTATGAAAATTATAATATGGTGATAATAATAATTGAATACAAAAAATAATGGAGACAATCTATTTTACAGAGACATATATCTCTATTCGGCTTTTTATTTTTATAATTTTTTTAGTTCTGGCCTTAATTTATCATAAGGTTCCTATTATTATAAAATTAAATTGCAAACAAACAATCTTAAACAAATTACAACATTGGGATTATCAAATTGCTTTAAAATGTTATCAATTTTGCCAGAAATATTACAGGCAATTTTTGTTTTCAATTTTCAGCGGCTGATATGTCAGGATAAAAGAGATAATCTTCGTTATTTAACCCATTAACGGCCCATTTTTGTAAAAAACATTTTTATTTATAATAAAAATGTTATTTTTTATTAATATAATGGTAGTAAAAGAAGAAGAATAAACTTGTAAATTCCAAAAATTATTTGATTTTAAATAACATTATTTCTACTTAAATAATTTCTTAATAATTTCAGTGTTTTGTTTTCAAATATAAAAATAGTCTGGAAAATATTTTAAATTATATTTATTAAATTAAAAATGTTTTAATGTTATTTTGCAGATGATTATTATTCAATAATTTGGAAACATTAATTTCTCGATTTTTCAAAAATAACGATTTGGATTTAATCAAGATTTTTGACATTCGATTATTTGTAATCCATATATCGTAATTTTTATTTTAGTTTAAAGAATATAAAAATCTCAGAATTTTTTGTATTAGTTTCTAAAAATTTCTTATATGAGAAAAAGTTCCTTTTTATTAACTATTATAATTTATTATAATTTATTTATAAAATTAGATTCTCTATATAATATAAGTGGCCTTTACTGGGTTAAAAGTACTCCGAGTAAGAAGAAAGAAAAAGACTAGACTGAGTTTGGTATTCGTGGAAGCCTCCAGGATGCAACATGCACACTTCCGCGATCAAGCCTTTGCTTCTCCGAGCGAGAAAACGCAAAAAAAAAATCATTCCAATTTCGACTTTAGGTAGAAATTCGATGTAGTCTCGGATATACATACATATATATATATATCTGTGTACATATACATACATATATATATATTGTGTGTATTCATATATCCACATGCATGCATACATACCTACATACATACAAGTGTGTGTGTGTGTGCGTGTCGCGTGTGCGCGCGCGCGCGCGTATGTGTGTGTGTGCATATACATATATGTATGAGATAGAAATGCAAACAAGAAAGAGAAAGGACTAACATGAAGTGACAAAGTTAGAAAGAAAAATTAAAAAGAGAGAAAGAAAAACGGAATATACAAAGCATCACACAAATACACTTTCATACATACGCATAGAACGCGCGACAGAGATTGTACACACATTCTTGAATAGAATACGTGCATAAAATACATAAGAAATACACGAGATACGTTTACTGCACGACAAAATGGTCCTGAATTAAAAGCCTAGTGCTTTTTAAGATACAGAAAGGAAGAAAAACATGCAGAACCAACTCGTCTTGGCGTAGTCGTATCCTCCTAACGTAGAGAAACATTATACATATTTTTTTTGCAAGAATATTATTACTTATAAATATGCGTTATTATATATAAATATATGTATACCCATATATATATGTATATTTATATATGTATAATGACATATTTCTAAGTATATATACATATATATAGAAAGAATGAGAGTGAGTGAAAATGAGTGAAAGGGAGAGAGAAAGAGAGAGACAGAGAGAGAGAGAGAGAGAAGCTATTCTACTTGAGAAAAACTACGGAGAGAATTGTTCTCATTTATATATAATTTCAATTGAGAGAAGATTATTTTAAATTGACGCCAGAGAGGATTATTCGAAGTATTTCTTTCCCTAAGAAAGAGAAAGATGAAGCAAGAAATAATCCTTGATATTACAGAATTATAAATGAGCGAGAGCGAACGAACGAGAGAGATAATAAGATAAATTGCTTTTAATTAATAACCCGTTTTTTTTTAATTAATGAGTTTTTCTCGTGCGAATATACTTGTATAGATAGAAGATTATTCTGTAATATTCATTCTTTTTTTTTCTATTTTGTTTTATTTCATTTTTCGTTCTTCGACGAGAGAAAACCAACAGCACCAAGATCACGCGTCTTTATTCATTGCGGTTATAAACTAAATAGAAAAACTATATATAAATAAAAGAGAAGCAAACCACAACAACACTATAAGAAAGAGTCACTTGATACACTCGATGATAGAATAATTAATTGAGAAGGTGATGTCGAGATAAACGAGCAACATTATTATTATAATTAATAATAATTATAATAAATACAATATTTGTACAATAATATCGGCGGAGTTTTGTTTTGTGATGTGCCATATTGGATATGTTGCACATTCGACTCTATTGTTCATCCCAATTCATACGCATCCTAATCTGATCGATATGTATGTAAAATTGAGTGTACGTATGTACTACAGACATAATATATTTAGGCGGAGCATTGCGCAGTGGGGGTAGAGGTTCACGTAGAAAAGGACAAACTCTGTTTTCTGCTATTTCGTTCTCTCTCGCTTGCATCCGACCGAGAGAGAACGTAATGGCACAAAACAAAGTTTGTCCTTTTCAACGTAAACCTCTACCACCACTGCTCTAGATATGTTATGTCTATGGTACGTGCAAGCCTATTATTATTGAAACATATAGGTCAGAAGCGATTTTTTTTATTAACGACAGAATATATAATATCACTGCCGGGTTTGATTTGTGAAATCGTGTAATGTTTCCTATCGATTTGTGAGGCGAGTGGAAAGAAATAATGCTTATAAAAAAAAAACACGAAAAGGATAATGTTTGTAAAACAAAAATATTTTTTTCTATTTATACGAGGCGCGTTTTAAAAGGACTAATCCCTCCCAATCATTAAAAAGTTAATTAAAATAAAAATATTGTATTCAATTGTGAAAGGACATTTACATTCCTATACTTTTCTACATGGTCACGGTTTTTTTTTTAAATACTTACTATTGGGGCATCAGTTTTTTATGCTCTCTATGAAGCAGAGGTCTATTACTTGGGAATTCAACCAATTTAGCACGGCTGTTTTTAGCTTCTCACTCGTTTAAAACGAAGAAGAACGAAGGTGCTTCTTATTTCGATGAAAAATTATTTCAGATCGTTTTAGCACACTTAAACAATTATCCGAAAATTATCTCTTTCCCTGATTGAAACAACAGTAAAATGAATGTGACTCGAAGCTTAGTCATGCAGCTTGGAGTAGGTTTGACTAGGTTTCGGCTCACTTTCATTTTTACTGCTGTTTATTAATTGTCAAGGGAAGAAGAATTTTCGGACAATTTAATACACGTACTGATGCCATTTAAAGTGTTTCTTTTTATTTTTCTCTTTATTTAAAAATGGCACGCAAAAATTCTCAGGATATCATTTAGCACCTCTAACGTTACATTCCAATATGGAGGAATGCCGCAGCAAGTATCCTAGAGCTTTAAGTTTCCACTGAAAGTATTGAGTCTTTTACATTGTGTAGACTGCCGAGGATGGACACGCATTGCCATGAAACCGACTTTCATTATCAACAAACCTCATTTTCCTTCATCTTTTAGTCATAAAAGAAATTTAAAAATCAGCAATGCTGCAGAATTGACTGAACTCCCGAGTGGCAAATTTTTATATGGAAAAAATAGTGCTCTAATATGAAAAATATTTGAAAAAAGAACAAGTGCGTACTTTTTATCAGTAAACTTTTTCCATTTTAGTTTTTAATGATCGACTAATTCTTATTTTTTAATTATGCCTCGTAATAGATAGAAGTAAAATGAAAACTGAATAAAAGTCCAAAAGTATTCGATTAATTTTAAAATGTACCTTTGTTAAAAATTTATAATATTAAAAATAGTAAAATATTGGTATCGGATGCATAATATTATTTAATATCTATAACATGGCTATCGATCAGATCAAAGGATTTTATGGAATATTTCATTGCGACTTTACATTTTGAGGTTCGGAGTCGATATAAATTTCCTAAAGTTGTTTACTTACAAAAACATACAACTTTTCTGCATAATTTATGGTATAATTTACGTTGTAATAATTTTTCGTTACAATTTAATTATAAAATAATACAGTTTACACTGATTTCCGTCATAATGTATAATATGTAACTTTATGAATTCAGATTTCTTGATGTCGTGGAGATGCAAAAGATATTCATGATTTATTCACGTCGATTTCGCGTATTCATTAAATTAATTGATTACACCAATATTGAAACTTCTTTTTTGATTTAATCATACTGGTATTAAGTAAACATTATGTATTGGAAGTCGCGCTATGCTTTACTTTTCTGGCGAGTTTGTTCCTAATCGAATCACAGGTATTCGACAGCATCTGGGCAATGAATGTGCAGCACTACTGTCGTCGATCATCGTCATCGCGGATTGTACTGGTGCAGACGGATTGTGTCACGTCAGGGAACCGCCGTGGACTCTCATGTGCCTATTGAGATTACCGCTCTGACTGAATCTAAGCAGACATAGCTTACACTGATACGGTTTCTCGCCGGAGTGTATACGTAAATGCTTAGTAAGCGTTGAACTGTCGGAGAACGCTTTCTTACAGAATCGACATCTGAAAAAGGGAGAATGAAGAAAAGGATTAGTGATTCAACATAATTTAAGAATGGTTTATCTCACAATAACGTGAAATAACAAGATATGTAATAATTAAAACAACATTGCAAATAAATGGGTCAAAGATTTAAAAAGAAGATTAGTCCAAGAAGAATTATGTTAAATTGCATAGAGGAAAGTCCCTTATTATGAGATAGCAGGGTTTTTACTAAATTAATAGACACATTGAAAACCTGCTCTCGTATTAGAAGTCTATCTTGTAATAAGGGACTTTATATAAATTAAATTGATATGTATGTATGTTGCGTATTTTGCATTTAGTTCTTGGACAGTTTCGCAAGCGACGCAAACAAGGTATAGGCCTGACTTCTTACACTGAATCGCAGACTCTTGGAAGGAATGCAGAATAAATCGTCGCGTACATTAATTTAATCTATACTTAGATTTACTAGTCATGTTTATCAATATTTATCAATTGCGAGCAACGTCTGAGAGAATTGGTATCGGAGCGAAAGGTGATTAACGAGAACGATCTCGGAAATTCCTGAAGTGTTGGTTAAGATCGGTAAGTCATCAATAGCGATATCTCGGAGAATAGTCGAATTTTCATAATAATAAACGGAAGATTAGAGTCAACTGTTATACTGGGATAATACGATACAGCTAAATTAAGATGATAAAACAAAATGAAAAAGTATATATGCACAGTGACGACCAAAATTATATCACCTTTAGGTTTTCCGAGCATAACTTTCGTTGAAGTGCATCGAATGTACTCAATTTTACAGTAGATACCTGGTAACAGGTGTATCTTGTACACGAAGAATAATCAAATTTGACAAAATGCACCATAATTTCCGAATTTTTCATGTATACTGTAAAACTAGTTATGCTCCATAAATCGAGAGATGATATCATTTTGGTCGGTATTGTATATGTATATATGTATACAAGAGATTGAATATTATCAAGGGACACGGTAGTGTCTCGCGCCAAGTATAAGCGTACCGAATACCGCGCGCATGTTATACATGTAGTAATTGTAATTGACATAAAATTTCAAAAATCTGCTATTAGTTTAAGAATTCTTACAATACGTCAGGACATAATATTATTAGAAATAATTATTAGCGGTTTTGCATTTCACCGCGCACATTTGATAACATAAATTATTAAAATATAAAAATTATTTGATCAATAATCTAGAGCTTGATCTATTTTTTATCGAATGGACAATAATACATTCCGATTAAATGGTATACGCAGCTTGAGGAATTCTCTTAAAGTAGGATAACACAACAAAAGAGGTATGTCGTATATTTTATCAATCTGTTATCAACCACGAGTGGTGACATTAAAAATATTGCTTTATCTTGATGCATAACATAAGAAAATTCATTAATTTCTTTTTATTTTGATATAGTTACAGAATGAGAAAACAGGAGCCACAAATTGTATAGAGAATTAAAATTTATTCGTACTATAATGATTAATTGCAGTTATGAATTGTCAATTGAAATTATTTGCCACTTATTACTAGCCAAAAACATAAATAACCTGAATAACTGATATCGCTCAGATTGCCAGGGCTCAAGAATTAATATCGGTTTATTTTTCAGTTGCTTTTGAAAAATAGATTTAGATACAAACCTGTAGGGTCGTTCACCCGAGTGTGTCCTCATATGCGTGGTTACTGAGCTGCTTTGCGAAAATCTCCTGTCACACACTGGACAACGAAAAGGTTTTTCACCGGAGTGCGTCCTCGCGTGTGCGGTCAGATTCGCCGCTTGGCTAAATGCCTTTGAGCACGCGTGACACCTTTTCAAAAGATAATAAATTATTATTAACGAAATTATATTTTTCTCGTTAGATAGGACACTAATCTTGGTTCTGGTTTCCGAGATTTTCATATAAAGTTTAAATAAAAGTTTATTAAAAATCCACTAGAAAATCTTGTCTGAAACTAAAAGAAAATTCTTTTATATGTTAGGAAAAAGAAATTAAATATTTTTTTATTTTCATACAAGTGCACCCTCTCTAAAATCAAAATAGAAAAGTGTATGATATTTTTTACTACAATACTATTACTATTGCTATTAATACAATGTTATTACTATCACTAGGATAGTTTTCTTTTAAAAGAAACAAATAAAATAAAACAGAACAGGATAAGTAAATAGATAAATAAAGTTCTCTCTTTCGTCCTTTTTTAAAAAATCCAACAAATTCTGCACCTTTTTCCTCGACAATATATTTAGAGGTACCGACCTGAACGGCTTCTCTCCAGAGTGAGTACGCAGGTGAGTTTTGAGAGTACTAGGTCTGGCATACGATTTGCCGCATATCCTGCACAGATTGGGTCTACCATTATCATCGGAGGTGATGCCGCTCGCGGTCGGACCCGTGGTATTTACACAGGTTGCGTGTTCACCCCCAAGCTGCAGTCGGCCACCACTATGATGCGGCTGGGGGTGGGAATGGGGATGACCGATCAGACCGCTATTGGCCGGCGCGCCCTGATTCACCCTTGCGGTCGTTTGCGCCGCCACCTCCACCGGATTGCCGTACTGCGGGGCGGGACTTAGGAGAGGTTCCACGCCCCACGGTGACGAATAACTTTGTTCGTATCTAAAAACACACGCACACATACATACGAAGATAAAGATACAGACGTATAACAGAAGAGCAGAGATAGGATCAAATAACTGCAGTTCGTAGGAAAGATGCAGTGAACAAGATGGCGGTTATTGTTGGGAGATGAACGTGCACAATTAGTTGAAATAGTTTCAGAGATAATATTACGATGTAAGGATGAAAATTCTGAGACGAGCACAATTTTTAGTAGTTTCTTTTTATGTTGTTGAAAACACATTATCTGCTCACCAAACAATTTTTCATACAAAAACACATAAATATACAGGGTGTTGAAGAAAATGTACCAAATTTTAGGAATATGCAGCCCTCGTGAAAACAAGCCAAAAAGTTTGAATAAACATCCCAAAAATATTTTGTTTCTGAGTTATAAAGTGTTATCTGTTATATTAAATAAAAAGTAAATTTAATTTACAGTAGATGTTCGATGCACATAGTTCGACACGCTTTTCTTATTGAAGATCGAACAGATTTAAAGATTCCAGACGTGTTTCACATTTTTTGACAACGAACGAAGAATATAGACCGGTTCCACCATTTCCGATTAATTTAATCAGTCGATTAAATTTCAGTGTTCCATTGGAATTAACCAATCGCATTTATTGCACACAGAATTGACCACTCACGGTTGACACTTAATCGGCCGATTAAATAAATCGGAGATGGTGGAACCGAGCCTATATCGAATACTTTATAGCTCAGAAATCAAAGATATTTGGAATAATGTTTATTAAAACTTTTTGGTTTCTTTTCACGAGTGCTACATTTTCCTAAAATTTACCATATTTTTGCAACGCCCTGTATATAAAATGTGTTTATACATGTTTTCTTTTTCTTGTATTATTCATATCTCTATACATAGAAAAAGAATAGTAAGAAGACTAATCGATAATTAACAGGGACAATAACTTCTACAAAAATAAAATTGCCGTTACAATATTTTATATTGTATTATCACATATGTATAATTATATTTTACATGTTTTACATTATGTTACTTTACATTAAATTTTTATGATTATATATGTATACATATATGGGCAATTCTTTCTTCTTTCAGATTTCGCTTTTTTTTAAATGAAAAATGCGAAAATTCTTTTTAATTCTTATTATTTTTATATGAACAGAGATTGTAAAAGGAAGGCAAACAAACATGAATTTACATTTTACGTATAATCATATACGTGACGTGGCAAAAAGAAAAATATTTATGTTTTCGTATGAAGAATGTTTGCCGAGTGATATAATTGTATGTTGCAAAATTGGTTGCTAATAATTGGGATAACATTCGTAATAAATAGGTGAATAATAGACCAAGAAACTTGTTTTGGTTGATTTTGATAAGAAAAGGAAGGCAAATTCTTACCCGGAGTGCATATTCATGTTCATGGTCATGTTCATCGATACGTTGACGGACATGGCGGCGGCTGCAGAACCATAATGACCCGGACCTGGAACCGACGGGCCCAGATTCTGCACGTAATCCTGCGAGTAATGATGAGCGGCGGCGGAGCCGGCGCCAGTGGTGTAATAGCCGGCCGTCGGACTTCCGGGATGCACCACCGCGTGTTTCAGGGATAAAAGAACGTCGGCAACGCCCTCGCCGTTTGCACCGTTGCTCGTCCTTGGCACGCATTCACCCCGTGAGCAGCCCCAGCTGGAAAAAGTTTTAAATTTTGTGGGTTCCGTTGAAACGTCGAATTCGTGGGTCAATAAAGTAATTGCAGAAAAGAGAAAAACTAAATGTATAGCGTGTATTCAGATATATGTACACACACAAAAATATATATTTTTTCAATTAATTTTAATTAAAGTTTACAAAAGTTTGTTTGATTAATTAAGTAGAACTCGACAGATTAACGTTAAGTGGAATTAAATATGAATAAAACACGGTTCTTCAAGTATTATTTCAAGTACAAAGTCCAAGATAACATTCAAAGTACAGAAGAGACAAGATACTAAAAAGAAAAGAGAAAGAGATGAGGGAGAGAAGAGGAAAGAAAATTGACTTAATAACTAACTTGTACGTTCCTGAACACGGGCTGAACAATCCTGGCGGCAAGGGGTCCAAGTCCAACGGGGGTAGAGGGAAACCTGCCATGTCGTCAACCCAAAAGCTACCGCCGAACTCGTTCACGGCCTGACCAGAAGTTGGAAGTTGCTGGCCCTGGTCAGCGCCAATATCTGTCGGCGAACTCTGCAGGTCCTGCAAGCGTAGCGTGCCCTGCAGAGCAGCGCCGAGAACGGCTGCCTCCTCGTTCTGATTGTCGGTTGAGAGAGCGTCGTCACTCGAAAGCACCCCTAGAGATCCAGAGCAGAGGCTAGATGAGATAGTCGCCTCGATGCTATCTACGGAACCTATGGATTAAGGAAACACATAGATTTACTGAAGAATAATCTTCGCTGATTCAAGATATTCGAAGCAGCTTAAAAAGATCAAATCTGTTCTAACGATATCTTTCAATTGTATCAAAATTCATCAAATAATTGAAATCTAATTCAATATGTTGTTCGTCAAAAATATTCTTGTAATAATAATAAAAATAATAGTTATAGAATATATGTACATTTATATGAAATATATAACAATAAAGTTATTACGAACATTGTAATAAATAAACATCTGTTGAAATTAGAGAATCATTGATACTCTTTGCGATAGATTATCTTTATATCACGACATAGAAGTGCGTTGAAGTGAATTTCATGTTGCGAAAAGGCTTAAAAATAAAAAGTTTTAATTGGATTATTCTTAATGTTGACAATTATCTTACCAGCACTTGCGATACTGTTTTGCTACACAGACGTTGTTACTGAAGTAATTAAAAGTTATTATCGCGTCGCCACAAAAGGAGTGCACAGTGATACAAATTGGCTATTTTTCCACGAATCTGCTATAATTTGAGAAATTACAAATATCTTGCAGAAACGAACACATACTATCGCAGGAGTTACTTTAACTGTGTAACTCGATTATTGGAGAACATTTATGAGAGCATATTTTGTAGATGCAGAATTGTTCTTGTAAAATTGAACTGATACTTTTGGAATCTGGCAATGACTCGATAATCAGATTAGCCGTCATTGTTCACACTTTTAAAACTATTATTGGGATTGAGTCGATTCAGAAGTACCGTAACTACGCCCAGAAAATTTCGCTGCACTACGCAACTATCACCCGCGCCTATCGCCTTTGCGATCGTTTCCGCGCTCGTCCTCGCGAGTATCCTTGTAATCGTCGTTGCGTGGCACGCAGGATTTCAGGTCTCACCTGTGCCGAGGGTATACGGCGGTTCGGAGGTGTTAACCGAGTGATGATTCTGCAGAAACTCCATCTCTGCGAAATTCTCGACGATGGCCTATCCCCCGGATGCACACCACTGCGCCCACCCACTCCTCTTCGCAACCCTCGTCTCCTCTCCCTATGGAAACGCGCTAGCGCTGGTCCAGCCCTCTCTGGTCGTCCCGGTAACGGCGCGCAGCTTTACCGCGAGCCGCCACTCGCCATCAATGCTGTTTTTTGCAATAATAAAGTAAATGTAGAAGTGGTGAAAAGGTATTTTAATTGTTTCGTTACGCGCGATCAATTTTATTACACACATAGTGCGAAATAGAAGGGTTCGTGAATCGATACAATGGGAAATTAAGCATTTTCAGTAGAAAATTAGCGTATCTTTCGATATAAATTTGACTTTCCTGTTAAACGGGAATATTTATTTCGTTGTCACAAAATCACCGAGATTTATCCAATTGTTAAATTCGTTGGTGGAAAAATGAGAAAGGAATACATTTGGATAGGTGAGTTAAAATAGAATGAAACATCTCTAATCTTTCATTTGGTTTGAAAATATAAGTTGAGGAGAGATTAAAATCAATTATTTAACTATAGAAATAGTTGAAGCTTTCGATAAATTTTTATGATATAACGGTGAATGGTGAAAGAATATTAAGATTTTTATCCTAACCGAAAATGTTAATTTTGTTGTAGTTTCGCCATCACAAGAAAAGGACATATAAATGAAACAATCGAGATTGCGCACATATACCTTCTGAAAGAAAATAAATTTTTAATTTAAAATAAAAATATGAGAGACCTCTCTCTTGTGTCAATATCTTATTTTTATATAAAAGTTTTGCATTTAATCTACTAATTTTATATTTAATTACTCATAATAAACACATTTTGCACTAATTCTGTTAAAGATGAAAGTAGTGAATTTAAATTTTACAGAAACTTATAGAACGAATTATGCATATCATTTTTTTAACATTATTAATTTCTTTATTAATCATAAACATTAAATAAAGGAAATTAGATATTCCGTTTTACAGCACTGGCAAAAAGTGTCAAAAATATTATACGTAACGAGTGATATATTTAGTGTATTTAAATTTTCATGAGGAAAGATTTCTGTTTCTGTATAAGACAATATTTTAAAGTTTCGCATGATTTATTTGATCAAATTGCTTTTTATACGTGATTGAGTCGTGCACAATAATTATACTCGACAAGTATATTGCTAACGCTGGACCGGGATGTGACTGCAAAGATCGGCCAGATGAATCAATGAATGACTTTTTATGAATGACCGAATGAAGAAGGAAAATGCACGTGCATACGGCTCGCCACGCGCGTATAGACGTACCTTTATGGCTTGGAAGACCTGCCAGTCCCGGTTAGAGGCTTCTGCAGAAAACCTGTCGTCGGATATTCCCATTCACAGATCCGTGATACCTGCATCTTCTTATATGATCTTTACACCCGGTAGTTCTTGCCAAGAATCTTTATCTTGTTACAGCTAATGGTGCGATCTTAAGTTTTTTTGAAGTCACTTTTGTTTTCACGTCTAGCATAGATCTTTCAAAATTGAATCGAATTGAAGCGAATCACGTCACTTCAATGACCACGATGTAACGACACTTGATAAGAAAAGAAGTTCTCATTTATCTCGTCAATCGGAATTTTTAGTCTACACTATATCTTCGTAATTTTATTGGTCAAATTTAGGGTTGGGAAGTAACTCGTTACTTTTTTTTTTAGTAACTCTAACTTAACTTCGTTACTTTCTCTCCATCTGTAACTGTAACTTAGCTCAGTTGCATTTTTTCGATAACTAATTTAATGTATAGTTACATTAATAGTTTACTTTATATATATTTTAAACCCCCACAGATTGCCTTGCATTTGCACATAAACGCCTTTATCGACACTCTACAATTGAAATGCAGATTTGATATTTTTATTTTCATTGCAAGGAAGTAACTGCAAAGTAACGATTCGTTACTTTTTGAGTAATTGTAACTGTAACGCGTTACTTTTCATAATTGGTAACTTGTAACTGTAACTAGTTACATTTTTAGCGGACAAACTGCAACTAGATACTTTTATAAAGTAACTTTCCCAACCCTAGTCAAATTTCTTCAAATCCAAATTTTCTCCTTGCGTCGCTACGATATCCTTTCGTAATGTTTCAATTTTTTACATTTTTTATTTTATATCTTTTATGTACATTACACATACACGCATGTTAAGTCTCACACATACAATTTTCCATTCTATTTTAATTTTTGAAATTTTGTTACGTATTATGTTATAATATTCGACGCTTTACAACGAAATATATTTCACTTTTAGCGATATTTGTTCTTTACACGAATATTCTGAACATCTTTGTGACATTCTCTTACAAAATAAAAAATCTAGAGATAGGAACCGAAATATTATTGTATTTAAAATTGTATTTTAGGTTCAATTACAGATTAAATTAATTATATTTCGTATTACGCAGCTCGGAGTATTCTTTTCTATTGTTGATTATTTGTTTACTTCACAAACTTTTTAAAGTTTTTTATATTTTCCTGAACACAGCTTTGATCTGATCCTGGACATAATCTTACGTTTTACACTTCTGGCGAACACTTCACTATTGCAGTTATTTTCAAACTACGATTGTTTTCCAATGAGTTAGATTACTAAATTATTTTCAAGAAATGATTTGACTAAACTGATAACGACTAATGAGATTCAGACGTTGTAGAAAATCCTCCACTTTAAACCGTCTTAAAGAGTACTTTCGATTCAACTTTAAGCAGCTAAACTTCAACACAACTTTTGGGCGTGCGACTCTTGGAGACACTGCCATGCTGGCGGGATGGCATGTCAATGTCTCTTGGCTAACTAGTGATCTACCACCTATCCGCCACCCACTCTCTCACCCCTTAAAGCGGCTCACTGACTACGTACGTACCATCCGACCCCACTCCACTACTCACTATCCCTTTTTTCCCTCCCATCTCTGTCTTGGTCTCCCTTTCTCCTCTCTCTCGTTTCTTCTTTCACCAACTGAAACTGCACTACATATCGTCAGATATCCCTCCTTGCGTAAGAGCGACGTGCAAAGTGGTGAAACATCACAGCTGAAAAAAATATCACTAGTCTAGTCAAAAACAAAATAAATAATAATTATTAGAAAAGTTATTAAAAGAGAACGAAACATATGTCAGGAAAGAATATGGACCGATCAAGTATTATATTAGAAATAACAAGAGACTTTCTCTTTTCTTCTTCTTCTTCAACGAGGACGAATCCGCATTAATATCTTATTAGAAATGAAATTATGTTTATACTCATATCCAGCAGATAATATTGTTACATTTGATCAAGTCGCAGCTGCTGTCGAATAACGTGTATTGTGTGATGTTGACATACATATGTCGGCAACATGGGATATATTAGATCGTTCGGCGATCGTCGATGATCTTCGCGTTACGGTTATACAGATGATGTATATCTTAGTTGGCTGGATGGAAGGGAGGTATTATATTTTCTCTAGATACCATTACCGCGCGCCGATCACGGTGGTCCTCCTCTTTGATACCCTTCTCGAGATCACCGGCTTGTAATGCCTTCCTTTTCGTGGATATTGACCAGTCAACGGTGAACTCGACCGCGGGTTCTCCGCGTCACTTTCCTCAAGGATTCGTTACTTCAACAACAATTTCGCACCTTACAATTAGATATAAATTTAGAGATAATATTCCCTATCAATTTAGACTCAATATAAAAGATACGATATTTACTCTAATATATTCTCCGATATCTTCTCTTGTTTTATTACATTATTTATTATTACGATATCGTTTGTCTAATGTATTATTTTTCTCCATTTCTAATGAAATATGTATTTTAATGGAACGAGGGCGGGACATAATTTTATTGAAAACGCGTAAACAAATTTATTCAAGTAAATTTGATAATTGAAGTATATGTATGTATGTATATTGCAAGTATATAGGTACCTCATTGTTATTATTATATCTTCTCATTTTGTGTGCGTGACTTATGAGCACATAGGTACTCGACTGACTTGCCTCATCATAATCTTGAGTACAGAGTATAAACGGAACATCTGACTGCGTAGTCTCGATATGCGGACACAGGAAGAGGAAGTCGACCGCACGAGCACGGCACAACGTCACCACCATGTTGTGTGTCATCGTATCAGCGTGAGGGTGCCGGTGAGAGTAAGGATCATGTTTTCCGCTCGTCCGAAATTTGTCGATATACGTAAAGTATCCCGTGCGTTTAATGAAAGACTCTCGGAATGATACGAGAGGTGGACTTTCTTTCCTTAACATATTTGAGGAATAACAGATTTTGAGTAATTATATTAGCGGTTAAAAGAGTTGGTGATTAACAGCTTAATTAGTGATTTAAAAAAAGGCTTTAAGAAATATGTTTTCGATGAACTAAAATTTTTGCTTGTAAGTAAGTAACAAAATGGCATACTTTCATTTTTATATTTAATTTACTAACATAAATCGTTTACGTAAAAGTAAGTTTCTAGCTTTGCATCCCTCATAAGGATATTATATGGGCGTACGAACATAAAATAGAGGATACCTATGGAAAATAATTTGAATTTGTACTTTGAGTTTTGCTCATTTTATATTAACGAGCGTTAGTAGGGGAGGGGGGTAAACTATTAAAATTCAATTTTTTTAAATTGACATTTGAAGTTTACAAAATGACATTTTTAATGCTTGAAGTCAAAATTCTTCATGTTTACGCTAGAAGTTTTGTTGTAAACATGCATGAGCGCTTTGCAGCATCCGGCGCCTACAGAGCCTATTGTCACACAGCCTTATCTCATTTTGTTACAGATTTTTATGGGAATGTCGACACCGTTCACACAAATTCGTATCGGTGTGGCTTCAAAAAAAAGTTTTGCTACAGCTCATGCTAACCGTTCTTTTTTATATTGCATTGTTTCAAACTTTAAACATGTTTTTCTCAAAACCGTATTTCTTGACTCTAGCATTAAAGAAACAAAACATCGATTTACTTCAAACAAAGCGCAATCTAATCGCAATTAAATTCTCTATCGTCCATCGAGGCATTCTTTAATAACTGGTATTCATTTTTGAAGTTAAAGGAAGTTCCAATTTTTACGCAAAAGTTTTGAATTTTAGCTCAAACTTGTCGCAAAAATCGAGAAACCAATTTTTCAAATATTTGATGGGTCATAGCTACTGGTCTGTAGTATAATAAGCAGTGCCACTTGTTTAACTTAAATAACAGTTGTAGCCGGAATCCTGTCAACCAGTCTCCCGATAGGCTGTTCTCCAATGTTACTATCAACGAAATATTTGACCAAAATTTATAAATATTGTGTAAAAATCAATCTTCATTTAATGAATCCTTTTTGGTTTATATTTACATTAAAAAATTGTTTGAAATTACCTATTTTTGAGGCTGCAATAGTGCACCGCGCGCCTTAAATAGTTAATGTTAGTTATTTTATTGTATAATTAACATATAAGTGGAGCACACAAAGAGGAAGAGAGAGGAAAAGATCGCGTCGCATAGATGGGCCCAGGATTCATGACACGTCGTGTGTACAACCTGGTATTGGCTTACACTTCCAATCGATTAGGTCTACGGTATTTATATTGAGTCTCTTAAAAAATTATTGCCTTTTTCTTTATATATATATACGTGTACATATATTATTATTATTTATAGGTTAAAATAAAAATAGATTGAACTATCAGATTAGAAGAGTACTAGAAATCTTTAATATAGATTAAGTAAAAGAAACAAATTTAAAAAAGTCCCAAGGAAATAATTAGAAATCTTTTTAAAAACTATGTTTCTACCTTACCTAGAAAATTGTTAATTTAAAAATTTATCAGGCCTTTTATGTATATATAAATTTTATTGAAACACTTTATTGAAACCAGAGTTTGCGAGTTTTTTCTTCAAACTTGTTTCGGAACGACTATTCAGTCACCCTTCTTGCCTTTTCTCGCTCCCTGTTTGAATTGCGAATCCGTAGAATCATGTGGCAACGAATAGAAGCGACGGCAGGTACGAGACGATATGGGGTACTTTTCGACGCACCTGTGTTTACTCGCAACCAAAATCAAAGAGAAGATTAAGCACCATTACAAATTATGTAAACACGCACGTGAACTCGATATTCTTTTGACCCTGCACACGCGTTCTTTATATGACGACCACGTGCGAGCACGACCCGTGTGCAAGGAGTTTGGATGCAGGAGGATTAAAATCTTCTATCTCTAGCTACACACAAACATAAATACAACATATAACTTTTATCGTTTGCAATTTGTATGAATTGTTAAAAATAAAGCAATGTGTGGTTAATAAAGATAAAAAATAAATAAAGATAAAGTCGAAAATAAATTTGTGTCACCTAATTTATATTGCTAACCATTGCAATAAAATTCAACAAAATTAATTGTTTTCAGAATTTTTGGAAGAAAATAACTTTTTTCTCATAATTTCTTAATGTTGTTGTTTTAAGGAGTCCATTTATTAGTTATATCTGTTAACAATTTAATTTTTACTCTTTTAAACCGAAAGTTGTGACATATATCAGAACATTTCTGAGACAAAAAAACGTATCAAGCGTCAAACGAACTAGAGGAAAGTCCCCTATTATGAGATAGGATCCTAATATGGGATAGCGGGATTTCTGTTAAATTAATAGGCATCATCAGGTGATTTCACCATGAATTTATTGCCCTTGGAGCGGAATCTGTTTAGTGGAAAATTCATTGTTAGATCGTGTAATAGTTGCGAAAAAGATTTGTGATTGAATTTGGATGTTGAAAACCTGCTATCTCATATAATAGAGCACTTTCCTCTACTAAAAAATGATTGTCCTTTTACTAACTTTTGTTGAATCGTGTGTTATACATACCAGAGAAGTAACGCGTCTTAAGTTTCTCATTTCGGAAAAAGGGTTGGTGACGAATGAACTATAACCGAAGGGCGCATCTGCTCAAGAGGATCCAGCTAAGAAAATAAGGCGGGGAAGCGTCGCCAAGATGATTATACATGCCGTAACCGTTTCCCCAGGATTAGGATATGTCCACCGTCCACCTTTCCTGATCCACCATGAACGGTTCGTTCGAATAACGGATTGAATTTCATGTGGCGCGTGCCAGCCGGCTACGCGCGGCTCGTGCACGCTTGTTCGTACACGATTGTGTTTATAAGCCGATATTACATTTAAGTATTACCTAACAGAATGAACGATCTTACCTCATCGAGACCCAAGGACCGACAGAAAGGTGACTTCAATGATCGAAAATAGATTTGGGAGCTGGAGACGCGTTCAGAAAACACGCATTTATTAATAATTAATTTTAATAAATATGATATTACAGAGTATAGTGTACAATGTACGAATTTATATAAAATTATTAATTAATATCAAGTATTGGTATAATGTTCAATAGTATTATCGAACGATTTCTGTTCCAACATACAGCTCTGATAATTGTGCTGAAATTGTAAGACCGTTAATAATGTAAGACCGTTAATAATATAAGACTGTTAATAATATACATACTAATGAAATTTAAGAGAAAATATTTGATAGCAAAAGAAAGGAGTGATAAAGGAACGTAAACTTTTATTTCTTTCGTTTCTTTCGGTACATAATTCTTCGAAATAAACTGATATAAATTCGTGCAATTATATTGAATATTACAAGTGTACAAAGTAGACTACAGCTGGTAGGAATATCAAGAAAGAATATTTTGTACTGGCAAGGGAAAACAAATAAGTACTTTCATATCAATATAATAAAATGTTCACACGTACACTTCGCATATCCGATTAATATCGTACGTAATTTCTCCTTGCAAAAGAGTGGGCTGTTCCCATATATTGCGTATTTAAGCCGCAGACTTAATTAAGTAACCGTGATCAAAACGTTTATCATGATCGTACGGGGATAATCCGCAATCGCTTTGCTGGCGAGAGCTGCTATCTTGTCAGGCAGGATCTTTAATCACGGACGATTACCGCCATTGCTGTCATCCCCCGATGCAGTTTAATCACTCAATTGTGATTAAAACAGCCGATTTATGCAGGGTGTAAGGATGCAGGATGTTCTAGCGCGAATTGCTTCCGATCTACAGATTTCTAGATTTAAGAATTTTTTCTCTTTAAGAAACTAATCATCACTTTTAAGTAACATCGCTTATTTACATAATGTTTTAAATAAAAACATTCTAGGCAAACATTTTTCCCTTAAAATTTATACAAGTATATGTGATTATATGTAAAATACGTCTTTCTACATGTTTTCTTTCTCTTGTATAATCTCTGTCCGTTTACATACGAAAAGTAATAAGAAAAATAAGTTATGCATTGTCTTTTATAAAAAGAAAAATAATAATGGGTAATTGTTTCTTAAACTTTATTTCTCATTATTCTTTCTGTATGTACCTACAAACAGAGTTTATACAAAAGAAAGAGTTTGTAAATTTAGTTATATATTATGGAGAGGCTTAATTGTCTCGAATTCTTTTTTTTATTGATTTTGACGAAACTTATTGTTGGACACAATCAGATTTATTGAATGTGGTTATCAACAAGTCACATATATCGGCATATCTTGGTTTTTAAATAAAACAATAAGGTTATATTTTTAAAAATAATGCCTGATTATGGAAAATTGCACATATTAATCATTAATTTGATGAAATAAAATTGAGCTTATGCATCAGAAAGCTATCGCAAGAGCTTTGGAAATATTAATATAATCTCATTTTTTCCAAATGAAGAAAATTATATTAGACGCGACTTGGGACGATTTGGAATAAGCTTTTTTTGTTAACAGATCTTAATTTTGTTTATCAATCGCTAATTGTGATTCTACTCGGCGTCAGATCGACGACGCCGAAATTGTTTTGGAGTATCAAGAGCTCGCGAGAGGAGGAACGCGAGCAGCAACCTCTCAAGATGGCTGCCGCCGGCTCGAGAGTCGGCGTATCGACGTTTGGCGTTTGCGGGGTTTCCTGGATGTAAGCTCATCGGAAATTGCGGGTCTTCCCACCCCTGCCGCTGCTACCACCTCTCGTCCTCACCCTCGCCGCCACTCGCCTTGTCACCCTGCGATCGCCTTCAAAACAAAGAAACATACGTAATTAAATTTTTGTCCAAGCGAGCGTAAATTAATGCACGAGCTGTTAGCACAGCTACTATTACAGCTGCATGGCAGCTGCACAGCCGACATGAAAGAAAAATCCCTCGCATATTCGAACAAGATAAGGGAAATTCTTTTAACTCTTTTCCTTTTCACTGAATAATGACGATGCATTTCGAAAGAAAACTAAATTTAATGCTTAATCGCATTTTAAGCGAGTTATTTAATGCGTATAATATACTTATTGATTTATTATTAGATATTATAATAATGAAAATGTTTCCTGCAAAACAGTTATTTCTTATTAATTTTCTAGTGCTGGTAACGAATATGTGTATAAAAGATAAATCGTAGCTTTAGTCTTCAAGATTTTCAAGATTAATGAGTATCAATAATATGAGTGCAATATTCGAAGTAAGATACAAATAATAAGCACAGCAAAAATTGTTCACTTTTAACTAAGCTTCAGCAATAAAAAAACAAAAGTAAAGGGAGTAATAGAGAGAGTAAAGGGAGTTCTACTATATTATATGATCGCAGACTATTATTTGACTACTGTTCGATAGAGCCAAGAATACTTCGAGCCTACAAATGACAAATCAATGAGAGCATTCAAGTTAAATTTTGAACAACTCAGTCTGGCAAGACCTGTTCAAGAAATAAATTATATTTTAATATGTTAATAAATATAAGGAGAAAACAGATACAAAAGAACTTGTAGAAAATAATTCATTTTATGTTATTTTTATGGCTTAAGTACACATTGCTTTATTCTTACGTATAATAATTTGTATTCCTTAAATTAAAGCTAAATAATGTTTTTGTTGTCACATTTGGTCTATTTATCTGCAAATAAAAAAAAAATTCAAAAATTAAGTAGAAATTTTAAGTCAACGCTGGTGACAACTTAAATTTGTATTATGTATTATGTATTATAGTACATATTTGGTAATATGAATATATTGTTATAATATGAATGAAAATATAATGTAATGTCACGTTATACAAATTGTATTTATGAGTTTACATTTTACAAAGTATCAAATATCTCAATAAATTAATAATATTTTGATATATGATATTTTTAGTTCACTTGATTTCGTATAATTAATATTATTATTAATATATAACATTTTGTAAACTCTAATATAAAATTTACACATAGATATATAGTACAGCATAATATATAAATTTAAGAATATAGAATAAAACTTTTATTTATTTATTTCATTACATATAATCCATTTGTCATAATGGGAAAACATTGTATTAGCTTGTTCATCAAAAATATACATAAAAGATTAGGCAAAGGAGTGAAAAAAGAAAAATATATGTGGGGCGTTCTCTGTCAAAAAGGCCACCCCCTCTGCCCACTTCAATTTTTGAGATATAATGCTCTAAAAGGGCTTAAAATTTTCGTTGGTGTCTATTTTTCGATGCCGTATGGCGTTTTTGAAAATTCAAAATGGCGGAACTAGAATCGCGACTATAATGGAAAAAGCCATTAAAAGCACGATAATATTAGGCAATAAATTTTTAATTTTGTCGATTACATGAGTATGAATAGTCATTTTCTATGTATTTTTGTTTGCTGAAGACGAATTCGATTATCCAAATTTGGCTAGCACGTCACGATTTTGAGAAAAATGCCGAAAATGCCAGAAACACACGACAATTTTGAGTGTTTATGCATAACACCTGCAAAAAATTTTTTCCTCTAAATTTCGCTAATACTATGCTGAACTATGAATGTTTAGCTTTAAAATGAGTTTTGTTTCGTTTCGGTACGATTTTTCGTTTTCGAGATATAGCTAAAATGAGAAACACTGGTTGCGCGCATGCAACGCAACCGTGAAACGGAACAATGATACTGATGCTCTGTATCATTAACTCCATATCCGAATTTATCTGTAGTATTACTTTAAGTGCGTTCCGTTTCACGCATGATGCGCATAATGCATCATTTAACCTTATTTAACATTCGGTACAGAACAAGGATAAATGATGCATTTTGCGCATCATGCATAAAACGGAACGCACCTTTTGATAGCGACTTGTAAGCTAAATTTTTGTTTCTACCACAATTCTCTGTATAGAACTTCATGCCAGAGCGATCACTTGATCTTGGGAAGAAATTCGTTTCTGAATAAAGTTGAATATTAGACCATTAAAATAAACTCATACCGAAACGAAACACAAGGCATTTTAAAGTTAAAAGTTGGTACTTTCGCGTGGCATTAATGAAATTGGGGAAAAAATTTGCTGCCGTGCTACGTCACGAAAACCATCAAAAATGCTGTTTTTACGAATTTGAGGCCATTTTTCTAAAAATCGTGATGCTAGCCAAATTTGGACAACAGATTCGTGTTCAGCAGGCAAAAATACATGGAAAATTACTATTCACACTCATGTAATTGACAAAATTAAAAATTTGTTGCCTAATATTATCTTGCTTTTAATGGCTTTTTTCATTCTAGTCGCGATTCTGGGTCCGCCATTTTGAATTTTCGAAAACGCCATACGGCATCGAAAAATAGACACTTCAACGAAAATTTTAAGCCCTTTTAGAGCATTATATCTCAAAAATTGAAGTGGGCAGGGGAGTGGCCTTTTTGACAGAGAACGCCCCATGTATATTTCAAATATGGTAATTTATAATATTTTATTGTTTATAATGTTTACATAATTTTTTCCTTAATAAATCATTTTACTCTCTAAACCTTTAAAATTGAATAGTAAATCAATCGCAATTCAATATATTCTGTAACATTTAACGGGCTTATATTCAATAATTAACATGTTTTTCAAAACGATAGCGAATATTCTTTTTCATTTAGAGAAAATATGTAGTATTTTATTTTAATAATCATAAATATGTTTATTCCCAAATATGTATATTTATATTGATTAAATAACATACTAATGAAATGTATAATTGTACCTCGAAAATCCATTCTACAAACTTAATCATAGTTCAATAAGTCTTTCCTTTGCAACCATATATTTAATAGTAAAATATGCTTAAAAATGTGAAGTTTTAAATCGTCGATCATTCTAAAAGTAGAAAAAATACCTTTTTACACTGCGCAATCCTAAAAATATATGTACATTCATATGTATCCACGCACCATAATAATTTATTTATCATTTTTCGTATTTATATCAATACGATATAGAAAATAGAATACGATATATACATATACATATGTATAAGTGTGCGCGCGCGCGTGTGTATGTGTATGTGAAAATAACATAAAATAGATAATTTTTTATTTTCATTTCGTATTCTATATTATTATCTTTTCAAACTAAATTATTTCTCTATTTTTTATTTCATTTGTAATACAAAATTCCATAGACTTTATTTTTCAACTGATTCCCACGTAGGTATTTTCCGGATGTATATCACGCAGCTCCTAAAAAGAAAATAACAAGGGAATGTTAAAAATAATAAATAAATATGGAACTAAATAAAGCAATAAAATAAATAATAATTCGTGTAATTGTAACTATAACAATAATATATGCAATATTATCAAATAAAAAAAACAAAATTATTCGATAACATTTCTTTTTTATATCAAATTATAAGAAATTTGTATTCTATATAAAAAATATTAGCAACTGTATACGACAACGTTTGAAACAAATTGAAGGAAAATATAAGTTATATAATATTATATTCTAGAATTAAATTAAATTTGAAAAAATTTAAGTTGAATTAATTCTGATATAATTTTGTGCTTAACATATATATAGTCTACGGTTTTTCATAAATATCAAATTTATAAACTCTGAGAATATAAATTCTTAAAGCACCATTAATATGAAATAAAATATTTATCATACATGCAACATATAGTGGCTGGCCTTTGCTTTCTCTCGTTCTGCTTCTTCCTTATTAGTTTCTCGATTCGGTAATATCGATAACCCATCCATATTTAATGGGCCAAAAGTCCAGCCGCCTTCTCCATCGAATTTCAACAGTAACTTATGATATTTAGCGAGCGATGCCACTCGATGAGTGATAGTCAACAGAGTAATTCCTCTTTTCTTTGCGGTTTCATACATTATTCCTTCAGCTTCAAGGCTGACAGCGCTTGTGCATTCATCTAACAAAGCATACTGTGGAGCGTGATATAAAAGTCGTGTCATTGCGAGCCGTTGCTTCTCGCCACCCGATAGAGTGGAATCCCAATCGCCAAGAGCGTCAAAACCTTCTGATTCTCGTTCTACGATACCTCGTAGATCCACATCTCCTAACAACTGTAGCAATTCTTCATCCGAGCAATTCTCCGACCTATAACAAAATAAAGATAATGTGTATCTTTCTTGTTCATATTTTAATAAAAAGTCGAATAGCACATATAAAAAAACCTTTTATAAAAAATTTAATTATAACTTGAATTATAATTAATTTAATTATATTTAATAATTTAATTAAAATCTTTTACGATTTTTATTTCTAATGTGAATAATTATAAAATATATAAATATATTATAAAAAGCAAAAATATAAATATATAGACCCAGAATGCGATGGATAGATGATTTGATCACGAAGACAACCCACTGTCATATACGGCTTTTGTGGAATATAAAATAGGGCAGGCCTGCCATGTTCGGAAGAATTTCTTTCAGCTGGTCTGATGAGAGTTCCATCATAAACAGGCCAGAGACCGGAAATAACCCGGAAGAGAGAGCTTTTGCCGCAGCCATTGGGTCCAGTAATTAAAAGATGATCGCCTGGTTTTATCTGTTGATTACAGGTAAATATATGAGTATATGCGTACGCGGGCATGTAAAATAGAAGAATGGATGTGTACTTATTATATATTTTATCAATTTGGGTGGTATAGTTTGTAGTTAAGAAGTAATCAAAATAAATATGTAGGCTATAAGAAATATGAAGAAAAATAAGGATATGTAATTGTGTAAAAATAAAAATAAACTCTACAAATAATATATTTGTTATATATAGAATTTTAGTTCTCGTATTCTTCAATTGTGGTCAATGATGGTACTACACATCTTGGCTACGAAGTCCGAAGTTAGCTATTGATTATGTTCGTCAAATTCCCGCGAGTGAGAGAGAAACATAGTCTATCTCACTATTCTACGATCGTAGAATCGTAGAATCATGGAAGAGTGAGAAAGCCTATAATATGTTTCTCTCTCACACGCTGGAACTTGGCGAGCTCTTGTGGCCAGTCTCTGATTACAAGGTCTCAACTGTCAACGCTGTTTAGCGCTACAGGCTGTTCGCGGAGCTAGATGATAGTGCTAGTAAACGCTATCATAACGTCACTAATGGTAGCGTTATACGTCATAACCGCACGCTACATACAATAGTATCAACGCTTTTCCTTCCGAGGTAAGTTGATGATAGCGTTAGCGTTTGTGAGCTCCGTGAACGTTGTGAGTTGCTGTCAATAGTACGTCTTCTTTGTACAATTTGTTTTTGATTTATCGTAAAAGTAATAGAAAGCACTTATGTTGAAATTACTCTGCATGATGTAGAAACTAATGAAAATGCCCAGTGAGAAATGATTCGTCGCCCGACGTCGAAACGATGTCGAAACGACGTCAAATCGACATCGACACCGTCAAGTTGACGTCGATTCGACCTCATTTCGACGTCGGACGACGAATAATTTCTCACTGGGTGTATTAGTTAAAGTTTCCGTGGCTGATACTCTTCAGTATATAATATATACTATATTACTAAAATAATGAAATTATTATTTCTTTTATTATTTATTATTTCACGAGGTTATCCACCATGTTGTGTCAGCGCTATTTGTGCTGTTCAGCTGTTCACGGAGCTCGTTATCACTATCGCGCTATTCGTTTCACGAACGGTCTTTGGTAGCGTTTGCGTTAACGCGATAGCGAGCTCTCCGAACGCACCCCTAGTCAAAGATTCATAATGAGCGCTTTCCAGCAACGTACGCAGGCAACGCTGTACAACACAGTGAATCGCTTTAGCTTTGTTGTTTGCCATTATTAAACAAGGATGAAATAATTCTCTATATTACACTGCGTCAATTTGTACTTGATGCTACACGCAAAGAAAAGATTAGCCAAAAGAGCTAAAATTTAGCAGTGACAGCTAAAATGTGTCTTTGAAATAGGGACAGCTCATGTTGCTGCCAAACCTCAATTTATTAGCTCTTTGAATTTAGATACTGCAGCGAAAAATATTAGCTGTTAGAAACAAATAATATTTAGCTGTATATACACAAGCGCAGAAACATACGTCGAACAGCTTTATAGGACGAAAAGAACGATACCATGCCGTTGTATTGTACCACACGTGAAGTAATCCCTGATAGCACATAAGTCTCAGTTATGTTGCAGTTATGTTGCAAAGACGTTTCAATGTCTTTGCAACATAAGTGCAACATAACTGAGACTTGTTGTGCTATCAGGGATGGTACGCTGATACATATGGCAACGTCTCAAAAAGAATTGCGAATCGCATGTCGGGATCGCGCGCGTAATATATTTCGAAGTAGCTGCTCTTTTCTTAGCTGCTCGTGCTAAGTGCGCTATTCTTTCCAACTAATAAAGTTGTATCTCGCAGTGATTGAATTTTATCTATAATCACCAATTTTTAGCTATGGCAACAAAACACTTAGCTTTTTAATTAATTTCAAAGCAGCTACTGCAATTTAGCCGATATTACTAAGTCATGTCTTTGTGTGTAGAAAACATCTGAAAACTATACTTACGTGGACTGTTAAGTTAGGTACAATTATTTCGCAATTAGGCGTGACTATCGGCACGTTAATAAGACTTATACTGCCATCTGTGCTTTCACGAACAATTCCTGGTAAAAAGTCAAGTCATGTATAATGATTATCGTAATAAAAGTCTAAAATAATGAGTAAGACAACAAATACTAAATTATCAACATCACTAATTTTACATTATTAAGATCATTATTACAGTATTAATAGTAAAATAAGTAATATTACAATATTATTTAATATGAGAGAGAGAGAGAGAGAGAGAGAGAGAGAGGGGGGGGATTATATTTTTCTCGAGTTATAAAGTTGTATCTCTCTTGTATTGTATAATAACATAGCCCCACAAAAAGAAAAGTTGTCTAGGTCTAACACCAGACAGGTGTTGCCAAATATTTTATTTGAATCATTTGATTTACCTTTTATTATTGGTGTGCCGTTACTAAATTCGATTACTTTTTCCGTCAATTGTTGAGCGTTACCGTTTGGAACGGATCTCGATGGACTACTGGTGACGATGTTTCTCTTGTATTTGCAGAGTGCAGCGTCCTTAAACACGTCTAGCATTTCGCTGACGCGTGCTGCGTACCCCGCCAATGCGACCAATTCCTGTTTCAATAAGAATTAGATTGTGTATACTTTTAACGAGTATCTTCAGAGACGCTTTCTTTAACTTTAACGTTCAGATTCGCGTTTTAATCTCAAAACATACGGGATTAACAAAATTATTAAAATTTAAAATACGCACTTTATAAGATGACATAAGACGTTCGACAGCATCTGCCCCAGAGCTCAAAAGATTTTTCGAAGTTGTCAGATATCTTGTTCGCTCACTCACACCACCTAATTAAATGTTAGTATAAATTCTTATGTTTGTCTATAAGCTTTTGTTAACATTTACATTTCAATTGCTGTATGTTTCTTAATTTTGTTTTTTCTCTTTTTTTTTGGTACGGTATACATAAATATAATACAAATATTTTCAGACATAAATATAATACAGTACAGTAAAAAACATAATTTATATAATTTTTATACGTTTTTATGTAATAACAATATAATATAAAAAATTGCAAAAAACTTTCTATGAATCTATTACTATGGAAAATCTTTTTATCAAATTATAAATTATCATTATTGCTACTTTTTTATTGTATACGAGATAGTATGTTTGGAAATATCAAACTTGCGTTGTTATACGCACCATCGCCATCCGTATTAATCATCCCACTTCCCGATGACGTAGCCGTATTATAAAGCAACGGCATTGCGATAACGAGAAGTCCTGTGCCAGACCACACGTACTTCATGAGGAACTGTTCTAGCATCACATACCATAGTTTGACAGCAAGAATACGTTGCAAATGTGTCACCAAAGACTTGTAAGCGGAGTTCAGATAACGATGTTCTGTATCGTGACCCCCATAGAACGCAATTTCTTCTGCGTGCGCACTGATACGAGCATGCGCTTCCCTTAGTTTTCCACGTCGTGTTGCTTCTTCAGCAACCAGCTGGCCGAACTTCGGTGAGGCAAAACGCAGAACTTGTCCGGTTAAAGCAATAACTGCTGCCGCTAATAGTGGTCCTAGGTAATAAAATATAATAGCAATAATAATAACAATACAGGCTTAAAAGAGAAGTTTAAAGTTTAATTTATTAATAATATAATGATTTTAATGTAATAATGTATATCTCCCACTCCAAATAATCAAATATGTAGAAAACAAAACTCGTTCGGGCAATATCAACAAAAATATAATAGAGTTTGTTAATAGAATATGATAGCAAATTTTGACCGCGAAACCTGTTGTTTCTGAGCAGACTCTAGTATTTCGTAACCATAATATTTAAGTAATTCAATTTACTCTAGCTCGGAAATTCCGAATCAGATCACATGCATGAATTTTTTCAGTATTACTATACAGGGTGAGTCGTAAAAGCTGTCCCAACCCTTTACCGTAAGAGGTGAATTATCGATCGCAACTGTAGCCAGCTCGGAAAAAAGTAAATTAAATCTCATTTTACATGTCTCAATCATGTAATATCTAATTACATTTCTCGAGAATTAATTAGATATTATATGATTGAGACATGTAGAATGAGATTTTATCCATTTTTCCCGAGTTGGCTACTGTTGCGGTCGGTAATTCACCTCTTATGGTAAAAGGTTGGGACAGCCTTTACGACTCATCCCAGGATGACTGACACAAGAGTACCCCTATGAAAAATGGTGGTAAATTGGGTCAGACTAAGAAGAAAAATCATGTACTATTTTACAAAATTCGCAATAGTTATCGAATAATGTATTGAAATGTCTGAGCAAATCAATCAGTGATTGATTCAATCAGTAAAATTGCTTACTGTTAACTGTATGTATTATAAAATTTATTCTTTTCTTAATCTGAACCTTTTTGCCGCATATTAAACAAAAGAAAACTAAAATTACTCCATTTATATATTATAGATATTGCTGAATAAGTTGCGTAATCGTTAATTAAGTTCTCACTAAACTTTATAGTTGAAGTCGTCAGAAAAACAAAGTTATCTCACCTGGTATTGTTTTTGCGCCCATTTTGTGTGAAAATGAAATAAGTGCTATACCGACTAAAGCACAGTCCAGCAGCGGTTTTGTTAAACTAGAATATAGATGCGCTACAGAACTGGCTAGCTCTGACAAGTCATCTGTCAGTCTTTGCTCGGCCCCGCCAAGCCTAGTGTCTAAAGCTGATACCCTATAATAAGTCTGTTGACTCAGGTACATTTTGTAGGCATGCTTTACCAAACGCTCCCTGCACAAATAATCAAAGAGTTAAATTCTATTCTATATGTGATTTTCCATCTAACTTTATTTTAATAATATTTTTATATGAAAAAGTGCAAAGAAGATATTATTTTTATTATGTAAAAGAGAGACAACCACTAATAGTATACGTTCTTTGACGGCAACACAACGTTACCAATTTTGTCTAATTGTAAGAAAGAAAGAACGACTTAAATTGCAAAAAACAATGACTCTCAAAAACATTTATTATATCTTTTTAAATGAAAGAGACAATTTCTTTCTTAAATATTTCGCACAATGTCATAATGTGATGGAGTAATTTGGTCAGCAGGATTGCTTTTTTGTGAACAAAAATGTATAAGAAAAACTTTACTCTGATAAGAGTTGCTTGATAAAATTCTTCACTGATGTATCACCCGGCTAAAGGCCGGTGCCGAGGGGGAAACCGCTGACCAAAATCTTGTACACCAATGCCCAATGGGCATTACTTAATTTTGTTATCTTGTTTTACATCATTTATCTTGTGTTATCTTATTTCATCTTATTTTATCTTATTTTATCTTTATATTGTCACAACAAGACCTAATGCCCCTAGTAATGCCCAGTAATGCCGCAAATCTGTACACCACAATGCCCTCAGCGGTTTCCCCCTCGGCCGGTGCTTATTGTTAGTAAATTGACTTATTCATTATTAAGCATGATAGAAAAAATGGTTCAGAACTTTTTGACTCAGAATTTTATAAGGAATAATTTAATTAACACCCTGTCTTTCTTCAATTAACAACCTGTATAAATTATTTCTTTATTGTATTTAAAAAAATTAATTTTACCATTACGTGATAATTGAAGTACGTGATTACGTGATTAATATTTGACAAAAATCTGTCTGAAAATTTTAAATCTATTTTAAACTTTCAGAAATGCAAGCCATAAACACATTTAGAACAAATATATTTAAAATAGTGAAACGTTTAAGACAAATTATTTCAAACGTTTGTTTCAAGTTGTTATAATTAAAATTGTTTATTTTAAGTTAAAGTTGTAATTTAAATATGAAATTTAAATTATAACTTTAACAATATAAATATAGGATAATTGTAATTAATACACAGGCATAAGAGTTTAGATTATAGGAACATATATAAAAATATAGAATTATAATTTACACATAATTTCGGTAAGTGCAATTTGTGACTCAATAGAGAAACTATTGTACTTCATGTAGGAAGATTGCTTATGGTCACCAGTAATGAATAAAAATTATAACGGGAACTTATAGTCAACCCAACTGGCTAGTTGCTATCAATTTACAATTTGACACTGTCACTTCTGACAAGATGATTTACTTAGTAATACTTGAAAAGGACCCAAACTATAGGGTCGAAACGTTGTATCAACTTTAAATAAAGCAACTAGCCAGTTGGGTTGACTATAAGTTCCCGTTATAATTTTTATTGTACTTCAATTTACCGTTGTATCAGTGACGGATTTAGAAGCTCGCGAGCCCCGAAATATGAAGCAATTCAACAAACCAAAAGTTTCCTTCGGTAGTGAATCCGATTAAAGTTTGAGCGCAAATATCAGTTTATAAATATTCGTTACGTCATAAAAAATAATATTTAAATATTGAAACATTTAGAATTTCTGTTTAAAGTTGTCATCTTGATAATCATAATAAACATAATACCTAAGTGTTTATTGCTTTAATTAATTAATTCCTTTCATATTTCATTCATAATTTAACATTTTTTAATACTTTTCAAAAACAACTTTTTTCGTTAAAGTAAATAAAGTTTGCTTTTAACTACATTTTTGCATTTTGTTTGCCTATTATTTATCTCTTTTTTCTCATTTTACTTTTCTAAGGTCTCTGAATATACACTTTCAGTCTAAACACAAGATATAAAATTGGATTTGCGTTTCTGTTTCGAAAAAGGGAGAAAACATCTAAAGATCTAAAGAAGAGCCCAGTCATTTATCGCATGTAGGACTCTCAACGTTAGAACGTAAAGGAATAATGCTATTGTTCTTTTACAAATACGACAAAGGTACATGTATAAGAGAAGATAAATATTATAACTAGAATATTTGTTGGGTTAAAAACTTGTTGTAAAAACATAATTAAAAATTTTTAATAACAACACATCTATTTTAAATGATAAAATTAAATATTCTCTGTACCTAAACAACACATAATTTGACTTTAGTATACTACACTGAAGTATGCTACACTGAATATACAGGGTGTCGGATTCGATTTGGACGACTCCAAAGATTATAGTAGATTGGGTCAAGCTGAGAAGAAAAGTTATATACCATTTTACCAAATCTGTAATTATTATCGCGTAATTAAGAAAAACGTCTGAGCCAATAAGTGCACGGAGGAGCTGAAGGCCGGACTTGGCAGACATGCAAATTGGTGTATTTGTTGACATCTCTCAAGATCCGATAGCGAGAGGTGGAGTCACGCATCGATCGATGAGAGACGGCGGCGAGCGGGGAGCAGTGAGTGGGCGAACGGCGCGCAGCGAGCGAACGCGCGACATATGACACCGCGCCGAAAGTTTATCTGGTGGTAGGAGAATAATACACCATTTTGCATGTCTGCCGAGTCCGGCCTTCATACCGACACATACACACATTCACGCACACGCCTACGCCCACGCGCACGTATATTTTATTTTTAAGATGCACCAGCAAGGCCTTATGCCTAAACTAATGCCCAAAAATGCCTAGTAATGCTCCAAATCTGTACACCACATACCCTCAGCGATTTACCCCTCGGTCTACACTATCCGCGCGTTTTGTCAACGTCGGTGTCGATTAGTGTATAGTCTCATTTAAAACGCATGTTTTAATATTTTATCGTGCCGGAACGTGACGGTCTGCGTCATGTAGTCTGAATCGACCTTTACTCATTGTGAGTCATGTAACTCTTACCATTCAATCGAGAATTATATAATTTAATTGTTTGAATATATTTTATTAAAAGAAAAAACATTTTTATCTTCTCTACAAAAGTAATGATATCATTAAATTGCGCTAAACCGCTGAAATATACAATCTAAATTTATAATTAATTCTAATTCCTATTTCATAACCCATACGCGCGCGCGCGCATACACACACGTATGAACAAAAGAAAGAGAGAGTTTAATACTTGTAAGGAAGGAGAAAAAGCGCAATTAATATTTGGTTTAGCAGCACCAAGTTTTTTTAATAAACAATAATGTCTTAAATCAAGATCGATATGTATTCAACAATTAAATTAGAAAAGGCTATCTTTTAATAAAATGTTTATTTGTATTAAAGTTGTTTGCATTATATTTTTATTGAATAAGTATTAAAAATTTGTCTCATTAATGTTATTGTCTCCTTTATTTCTTTTGGTAAAATCTTATACTCGATTGTTTGGATATAATATTTTAAAATAATAAAGTATCTAGTTTGTATAAATATCTATTTTAGTTGGCGCAATTTAATGATATCATTACTTTTGTAGAAAAGATAAAAATGTTTTTTCTTTTAATAAAATATATTCAAATAATTAAATTATATAATTCTCGATTGGATGGCGCTTATACTTGGCGTCTTTTTTACCCTTTTTTTAAAAGAGGTTATTTTTTAAGGTGATATCACAAATTTTGTAGTAAATATTTCATAATATTCTACTTCTATGGCGACGGTCCCGATAATCTCGGTGATATTCGAGGTACTGGAGTCGATCTCCTTGATCGCTATTTCATTCTACGGTGATTCGGACAACGACACGGCCTCGGTCCCGTTGCCGCTGTCCGAGCCGCCGTCACTTGCTGGGGCACGCTCCTAAGACCACTGGTGACCGTTATCGCCGTCGTCGTCGTCGCCGTAACACTTATCCTTTGTAACGCCTTATCCTTTAATCTCTATCATTCCCCTAAAGATTAATGTTTAGATTTACATTCGCATATTGATCGCGCTTCTACTCACGTGGTCTTTTGCCGCGCTAGAGACGCTTGCGAGCGCCACATGGCGTCAGATTTCGCAGTGACGATTGACATTGTGTCAGAAAGGATATAACATTTTATATCAAAAACTAATAAAACAATTAGTTTGTATAAATATTCATTGTTATATTTGGCACAATTTGTTAATATCACTACTTTTGACAACGCTGTTCAAGGTCACACTGATATTGCAATGTAATGCGTTACAAAATTACATTTTTCGAAATATTTCGGGGTCCCGGTATTTTTTCCTCGCGCTTGTAACGCGAGCACCACGTTACGTCAAAAAATCAAAAAGTACATTATCCCCACCACTTTTTGGTTGACGACGATGACGACGACGACGACGACGTTTCTTAAAGTGATGAAAAATCGGGAAAATCCGAAATCCTATATTTGGCGTCGCAATATCTCCACTTATAGAGCACGTAGGAGAAAAATAAAACCACTTTTATTATGCAAATCGAATCCAAGCTATCGATTGAGACCACTCAGAAGTTCGCTGGATCAACCATTGTTGAGATCCAAAAATCTGAGGGCCCGTCATGCCCATTCTACACCTAGGGATGATCCTACTTGTGGCTCATCCGATACTCCCTTCTATACCTAAAGCTAATCCTACTTGCAGCTTATCCGAGGGAGTAGTATAAAGTGTAAAAGGGTACACTGTAGTTGTACTTTGGTACGATTGGAAACCAACCAAAGTGTAAATCTTTTACACTTTATACTACTCCCTCGGATAAGCTGCAAGTAGGATTAGCTTTAGGTATAGAAGGGA